AATGTAGAGAATTAGCAAAGCAGTTTGTCCCTTTTGTATTTGGCTTTTAACTGTATTCATGGTATTAAGTAATTAAATTCTTTGTGCCCATACTCTCTAAGAGGTTCCTGAGATGGTGCCCATTAGTGTGAGGAAATGAATATTGTTTAGTTCTCTGGGCTAACAATTGTTTATAACCATGCATCTTAATTAATTAAATGTTGTTTCCCCTGATGGTCAAGTCGCTGAGTAGGAACTGCAGCTCACTGCCACACTAGCTCTGGAAGAGGTCAAAATCTGAAATACCGTTCGTACTGCCTGCATATCACTTCTGAACTGTCATACAGTTGAAACCTAAGTCCGACCATCATAAGTCAGTTATCCCCTTATATAGCATTTACCAGTTTAGCCATCCTTGTATACACAGTTCTGTGGCTTTAAGCACTTCACATTGTTATCCATTATACTGAAAAGATTTTTGTTTTAGAATATGGACAAAATATTTTAAATATTAACTTTCATGGGTTGTATATAGTAATAGTCAATTTCCTTAAAAAGTTTTTTTCCTGCTAAATCTTGACAAGACCTATTCAATTCCGGGCTCTGTGTTGAGATAGAATGATGATAGAATGCCTGAGACAAGAGCAAGGACCTAAGAGAAGATGGGTGTGTGACGAGGAGCAGGATGATGAAGAGATGGCGGCAGGTCCCAGAGGACCGATTATGAGTCGTAGAAGGGATGTCAGAATTTTGCCCAAGAAAAATCTGAAAAGTGACCCAATATGATTTAAGACTGAAAGGACATTTTTGCTGCTTGTGGAAAATGGAGGAGTGCAGGGCCGATCGTGACTGGAGGAGACAGACATGACCCGATAACGGACCACAGTGGGGCACATTGGGGAGGAAAGAGGAATCAAGCATGGACCCATGGTTTCTGGGTTGAGACACCATCCACTGAGAAAAAATTGTGGTGAAGGGGCATTTGGGGAGGAAGGTGATCAGTACAGACTTGGATAAGTTCAGGACAGGAGGTGCCTGCAGGGTACCCAGGAAGAGACACCCTGGGTATAGTGGTACTCATAGGTGGAGGTCCCAGAAGAGAAGTCAGGGCATAGAAGAAGTAAGTGACCTAACAAGCAGTTAGCAGGTTTCATGACACCCTTAATGTGTTACATCATTTTCATTTGTTTTTTGTCCCTTGGCGGTTGCAGGAATGAATCCTTTACTGGAGTCAACAGATGGCTTTTCTTCTAATGCTGACCAACTCTTTAAAAAAAATAAACCTATTTATTGCTTTGAACTTCACCTTCAGCGTGTATATACCAAATCCTACCAAAGCAGACTCTGAGACTGCCAGCTTTTTGAATGTTTCTATGTAAATTTTAGATCGAACGCAACACAAACTCCCTCATTATACAAATTGAAAATGCTGGCCAGTGTGGTGGTGTGTGTCTCCAAGGACACTCAGGTGGGCAGCTGCAGAACTAGTCCCAGAATTCAGGACTCTCTACTCACTCAGCAGTCTTATTTCACTGCTTTTGACTGCTTCCTTCCCCTATTGAAGAGCTGCTGGCTTCAGAGTTCTTCATGCAAATGATTTATTTCTTATGGGACACAGAATGGTGCCTACCCTATTTGGTCTCAGAGGCTTGAAGACTGGAAATGTATTTTTATAGCAAATATATTTAAATAAAAAATAGGTAGAGGCAAGGGTCTAGCTTAGTAGTAGAGCACTTACCTAGGATTTCTTATGAAAATACCTTAAAACTTTACATGCTTCCTGGACCCTTTTAGTTTACTAGTGAAAGAAAAAAACTCTGACTATGGATGTAGATGTAAAATTTTACATACAAATTTAGGAACTCCATAGAACTCCTGTCTTATAAGTTGGGCTACTCTCAAGCACATATGAGCCAGTTTTTCTAGAAAGAAAGCCAAAGAAGTTCTTAGGAACCAGTACCAGTAAGTATGAAGGGATTGAATAGTAGTTCAGTGCCTTGCCAAACACCTTTCAGACAGTCCATGTCTGCTGACCTATTAGTCTTTGCTGACTAATAGCCACCTTGGTGACACTCTGGAATTTTTATAATGTTACTGAGTGGTATTGAATTAGAGAGTCAGAAAGCTACTAATTCTTAGTAGAAATTTTATATTCTCTTAGCATTCTTAAAATTAACAGCCCTGTTAGATGTTGTTTAAGCCCTGACAATAAAGGACTAACCTTTCCTTATCAAAGTGAAGGCAAAGAGAGCTGCTTCTTTTGGTGCTAACTTATTTTTGCTGTCTCTTAATTACATATAATAAGGAGGAGGAAATACCAACCACAGCCTCACTTTCAGCCCCTTCAAAGGCCACAAATATGCATGAGTTATACTGTAGAGTCAAGAGAAGGGGGAAGGCCTTAATCTGGATCCCTCTCTGGTAGCATTAGGCTGAAGGTTCAAACCCCCCTTCCTCCAGCACCAGCTTCCTCCTGGCCACGACCTGCACACTCCCCTTTTCTGGGATCCACAACCCTTTCATTTCTGTGGTGCAGGGAAATTGCTCCCAGGCTATGAGCCTTCTGCTCAAGCGTGAGTTTTTAGCTAGTGATGATAAGCTACTTTTCTTTATTTACAAGTTTTTTTAAATCCTGTTTCTTCTACTGAGTTTTTGGTGACAAATTGGAACCATTTTTGTTGCAAATTTTTTTGTATCACTAAAAGTATATTATTTATGTATCCTGTCCCTCCTTCCCTAGAATCAAAGCCTCACGATGGCAGGGATCTATCCTCTCAGTCTTGTTCCCAGTTTTACTCCTGTTGTTCAGGGCAGTGCCCAGTGCCAGTACCGGCAGGTGTCTGGTAAATCTTTGACTCTGAATAAATATCTTGCCCGGTACACTCTTCATGGACAGAGCAGTTCACACAGGTGGTTGTTAAAGTGTGGCTGGGAGCCTCCACCCTCAGGACGCTGCCTCATGGTTTCCTTTCACTGTAGAACTTTGTGTGGTTTACATAGTAGCCACCCAGACATTTCAGGGCTCTAAAGATTCAGCCAGTAGAAGAAACTTTCATTTTTACCAGCAATGAAAGCAAAGTGTTGCAGAAGTTTGACTGTGGAAGCAGCCTGGTTGAAGTCTGGAACCTCTCCTTGCCGAGTAGGTGTGTGGGCCTGGCAGGTACTGTTCCTTCATGTTTCAGTTGATTCATCTGTGAACTGAGTCGAGCACTGGCACTTGTTGATGGGGTTACTCGGAAGAGTAAATCAGTTGCTGTAGGTAAAGTGTTAAAAAAGCCACTCTGGGACATATGTGTTCTGTAATGTGGGTAAGATAACAACAGAAGTGGCCGGTAAAGGCAGAGGGGATTTCCATACTTTTTTATCACCTGATTGTTCCACTTTATTAAACTTTTCTTCATCATTCCTTTCTTAAAATGTAAGACGCAGGCCGGGGATTTAGCTCAGCAGTTCGGTGGCCTGCCTTGCAAGTGCAAGGACCCAAGTTCAATCCCCGGTACCAAAAAAAAAATTCACATTGATTTTTTAAAAAGTTAGATTAAGGAACACTTTGATTCCTTGCATTAGTTGTTTACAGTTTTTATTTTCATGAGGATATGAGATTCTTTCCCCTACAGACTATATAAAATTAGTTTCCCCTATTTGGAGCATTTCTATAATACTATCCTCCATATTTGAATCTTTCTCACAAATATTATGGAGGAAAAGAGTAGTATTATAAAAAAAGTAATTATTATAAAAGAGTAGTATTGTAAAAGAATAGTATTATAAAAAAGAGTAGTTATTATAAAATCAGAATAAATTACTTAGCATGGAAGATTTTAATTTGTGAGATTATGTTCATGAATTTTCAAAGATTATTTCAGTGAAAACTTAATTTATGTTTCTGTATGTCTTTTAAAATTTTTTTTCTCACTTGGTGAGTCCATAAATACCAGATTTAGTTTCCGTCAAGAAGAATTATTTTTAGGTCAGCCTTAAAAATGGGGTGTATACAGGGAAAACAAAACAAAACCTTTCAATTATATTCCACACCCTTAATTGGTTACTTATAGTAATCTGAACTCTGGGTGTAGAGGGAAACTACAAATGAAATTGAAATAAAGTCAGCCTGTGACCTGAATCTGTCTTTTTTGGGTCTTGTTATTGCTAAAATGTTAATACTATTCATGGTTTCCTAATGTCTAAAATTTGTTTCATTTTGTTTGGTACTCTGTTCTATTTTTAAAAGGCACTTTAAAAAGAAAGAAACTTGGAAAGGATGTTAAAGGAAGAGAGAGCATAAAAACAGTAGACTAGGTGTCTGAGACTTTTCTCATTTGGGTCTTAATGGGGCATGTAGATGGTACCTTTTTCCGTGAAGAAACTTCTGACCTGTCTGAATGAGTTGTCCTATTTTCAGTACATTGGAACTCTCTGTCTTCCCCAAGTTCAGGAAGTGACAGGCTGGGGAGCTGGGTTCTTTTGTTGGTGATGTCACTCAAATTTTAATTCTCAATGCACCAGTTCCTTTCTTACAAAATCTTCACTATAGGGCTGGTGATTTAGCTCAGTGGCATTGTGCCTGCCTCGCAAACACAAGGTCCTGAGTTTGATCCCCTATACCAGGAAAAACAACAACAACAAAACTTCACTACACAGTTGGTAAGATAAGTAATAAAGACTCCCTTAGATCATTTGAATAACATTGGAAAATGACAGAAATAGAAGAAATAGGGTACTTTTTAAAAATACAAGATACTTGGCTTAGAAAGAATGTAGAATTGAATGATAAACCTAGAGTAGAAGCCATACAACTAAATTATTTGAACAAAAGAATAAAAAGAAATATTAGTCTTCACAGCATATTTTGATTTTTTAGTAGCCTGTGTGATTTTCTATGCTAAAGTTGTGGGCTGCATGGTGGCAGCAGGGGCCTCTGTTACTTAGTATGTGCAGCCTTCCTTGGATGTGCCATGGCGGTGTGGGGTGATGGTTGTCAGGAGCTTGTCACAAGTACAATCTTTTCTTCTGTTTTCCAGATTTTCACCTGATGGACGACTAATTGTGTCATGTAGTGAGGATAAAACTGTTAAAATTTGGGATACCACAAATAAGCAGTGTGTTAATAACTTCTCAGACTCCGTAGGGTAAGTCCACTGTTTTTGAACATCTGAATGTGTTAGTTTACTAAGAAGACATTTCATTAGAACAATTTAAATAAATCAGAGTAATGGAATTGTGACATAAGGCTGTCTTATTCTTTCTTTGTAGGTTTGCAAATCATGTGGGCTTCAACCCTAACGGCACATGCATAGCTACAGCAGGATCTGATCATACTGTGAAAATCTGGGATATAAGAGTGAACAAATTACTCCAGCATTATCAAGGTAAATGGTTCCTCTAACAAAAACTTCAGTTATTGAATGGCTGCCCTGGGAAAGACTGATTGTGCCTATTGTTGTCGTCTGCTTCTCTCTGTGGGGTCAGGAGCTGCATCTGGACTGACTAGAGAATGGGCCTAGTTAGCTCCTTCTCATCAACAGCAGGAGCAAGAGGGGAGAGGGAGGTAAAGCAACTTTAGATATGAACTGAGAGCCGCGGTAAAAGAAGTTACTATGGGATTTTCACACTGGTTGCCTGCATTGTAAAAGAACTCAAGGATAGTAATTGGCTCTGAATTCTGAATTACAAAGTTATTTGAACCTAAATAATTGTTAAAACTGGTAGAAAACAACTTCTTACCATGCCAATGCCAATGTGTATTAAAACTAAAAGGGAAGTGAAATTGTTTTCTTGGTTTATATTTGGATTTACATTATATTCATGTTATTTCGCATAACTGTAATAATAGCTATCACTCAGTGTTTAATGTGTGCCAGATGCTGTGCTAAATCCTCAGAAGATTTTCAAAAGGTATCATTATTACCCTCATTATAAAAATAAAGAAATGGAGGTGTATGGAGCATAGCTTGCTCAAATAATTGATAGAACTGACTCTGGTCTTTCTGCTGACAAAAGTGCATGAAAAAACAAACTTTTGCTCTCTGTACTCTACGGCCTCCTATTGAAAGGATGATGTCCAGAAATGGATTCTCAACTCGGTGACCAGAATGCCTGAGCCCTTCATGTGTATCTCCACATTCATCACCTTTTAACTGCAAGTCCCTAATTGCTTATTAAATTTGAGGCCAGGTTGTATACCTTATATGAGCTGGTAGTAATCGACTCTTGATTATATTGGTAATATAGCCAAAGACTTTTTACTTATGTGGTCAATAAGATTATCTTTGCATGACAGTCTGATTCCCCACAAGCTATCGAACACCAAAGTATTCATTTTAGTGAGCTATCGCCTCTAATTGATTATAATTTTCAAACTAATACTGCTAATGAGACATAAGAGTATCCTTAGAATTAAGAATTGTTCTCTGAAGGAAAAAAAACTTAAGATTTAAAAAAACAATTATATTGAACCAGTTTATCAAAGCATTAAAGATCACGTGGTAGTAAATAATTGTTTGAATTTTTGTCTTTATTTTCTGCAAATTAGTTCACGGCGGTGGAGTTAATTGCATATCATTCCATCCTTCGGGTAATTATCTCCTCACTGCCTCTTCAGATGCCACACTTAAGATTCTGGATCTCTTAGAAGGAAGACTTATATACACGCTTCAAGGACATACGGTACTAACATTGAGATTTTTGCTTTTTAAATAATATATGCTTAAAGTTTGATCCATTTTAGGATATGCCTAAATTGTTTTTCCAAATGAAGCACAAATTGCGCTAGTACTGAAAATTTTTACTTCAAGAGTATGTTTTTATACTTTTGTCAAAACCAGTGCCTTCCAGTGGCCATTAATTGAACAGTGCTGCCCTCAGCAGTATGTAACGCAGGCCGACTGGTGAAATGGTGATTTCTTAAGTTTATTTCTTACTTCTGATATCCCTTATGTGGAGACTGACACAGCCGCTCACTCCCCTCACTCGCACCTTTCGCTAATCTGATTGGTGAATTTAGAAGGAGAAATTTGGCAGGCCGTAGCCCTTGGCAATGAGCCTGTCCTTGCTGTCTTCCTCTGCTGCCACTTATGCAGAGACTTGCCCTTCCCTAGTATTGCTTTGATTGCGTGGTTAAATGTGACTCATTCTGGGAGTCAGTTCTAGAGAACCCACTTGCTTTAGAGATAAGAGCCACATTCATGTTCTACAAGCTTTTATTGGGAACAAAGCTGATATTTTGGCTCATTCCTTTGTCTTATTTCTCACCTGGTAATTTAGAACCAAATGGGGAAGACGAAATAAGACATTTTTCATGTATATGAGTTGTGTAAACTATTCCCCCCTTGTGGTTAGTCAACCTACTTTGAATTTTTTAGAACACATTTTTTTAATGTAGTAGATACTTGCTTTTAACCAAGCATAAGCTGTTTATATCTAGAAATAGAATGGGCTTTGTGGTCTTGAAGAGAAGGAGCTCTTTCTACCTTTGTATATCCTTCTTGTTTTCCTACTTTGCTTTTTCATTTGTTCTGTAGCAATGTTAGAGTGAAGCGGAAATAGACTCACAAGCTCAGTTTTATGCACACATATGGATTGAGTGTGAGTAAACACAACCAAAAAGAGTGCCCAGGACTGAAATATCCATGAAAGAAATACAAAGCAACAGAAAAAAACAAGCCTAATATTTTAGGGGAAACAGTTACACTTAAAGATGGAACTTTTCATAGTCTAGACATGAAGCTATTCTATGCTATAATAACCCAAGTTTGTGGGATGATCTACTTGAAAAATTCAAAATGTTTTCCCCAAAACTTTTCTTGTGTAGGTTAGTTTTCTTGTATAGTTTAAAAATAAACAAATCTTTGTATTTTTAGGATGAGAAATGATCCCTCTTGACTGAAAAAACTGACCTGGGGCCCAGGCATTTAGCTCAGTGGTCCCGCGTTTGATCCCCAGTACCAAAAAAGGAAAAAACTGATCTATAGGCTATGCATCTTGTACAAGTACAGCTCCACAGTAATTTCTCAATTGAATTTCAGGTTCTTATTATCTCCCACCTAGATAATCACAGTAACTTCCTAACTGGCCTCTAACCATTCATTCTTTCTCCAGTTCATCATTCTCATAATTGTAGTCCTAATTTTCACCAATCACAGCTTTCTTCCTTAGTGGCTTGCTGTTACCAACTTCAGATGGGAGAACTCAGTAGAGCCTGCTGTGGTCAGGAAGTGGCCTTTGTTTATACAGTCTTACTCCCCTCACCTACATAATCACCATTCAGTTCCTGCTAATAGTTGATTGGTTGAATACAGAAAGTCAGAAATTATTACCAGTCTCCACATGCACAAACTTCTTTAAAGGAGAAAAACCTTATTTTTTTTTACTGATTTTTTAGTACAAGTATTCCTTTTTTTTGTTTAATATCTTTGTGTTCTAATATAAGGGGGTTGGTTCTTTGATTATCTTTGCTAGCATCAGTTGCTAGCAGATAGATGTGTTTTATCAGTCTTAGTGCATAAGTAGTATACATAAGTTAGGGTGGAAAATTGATACTCATAGTCCTTTTGGCCATGAGAAAGGCCACTAACTACTTGTGTTTTGTCTCCCATTATATCTTAGGGACCTGTTTTTAGTGTTGAATTTTCAAAAAGTGGAGAGCTGTTTTCATCAGGAGGTGCAGATACACAGGTTTGTACACCTTTTGACTCTCTTTGATTTGAAATTTGACTTTTATAAAGGAATCTTTGACCTCAGCTAAAATTTTTATAACCAGCCAGTTTGCATATGTTTAGATGATTATCAATGCATTTATATTTTGTTTTAGTGAAAGAAAGTCTGCTGTTTGACAGCTGAACTATTTCCAGTTCAAATAGTTTTTTAATTCAGGAATTATTTTCTTTTGCTCATTTTTGCCCTTAATTATACACGAAACTCATACTTACTTAATATCCAGTTTCAGGGAATAGCTCTTTTATTTGAATTATTTCTTTTTATCTGTATATCTTGTTTCTTCAAATATTAAGCTTCTTAAAGTTGGCCAATTTAAATCATTTGAGGCAAATCTGCACTTACTCAAAATAACCAAAAGTCATCCAGAGCCAGACTTATGTTATTTATTCATTTATTCTTTTTTTTTGTGGGGGGGGGGGACCGGGTTTGAACTCAGGACCTTGCACTTGCAAGGCAGGCAGTGGCACCACTGAGCTAACTCCCTGCCCCTTACTATTATTGTATTTTGAAACACGGTCTTGCTAAGTAACCCAGGCTGGACTGGAACATGCATTTTTCCTGTCTCAGCTCCCAGAGTGCTCGGATTGCATAGATTTATTGAATAAAGTAGATGTTCAGCCTGTGTGGTAGTATACACCTATAATCCCGCTACTCTGGAGCCTGAGGCAGGAGGATCACAAGTTCAAGGCCAGCCTGGGCAATACAGCAAGGCCGTGTCTTAAAAAAATAAAAGGACTAGGGATGTAGCTCAGTGATCGAGTGCCCCAGTAACATTACTGAAATATATATATATATATGTTTGTGTGAAGCCTTTCTGACTACTTTAAGGGGTGAGTCTGTATATTCATTTTTTAAAAGTCAATTCTGTTGTTTGTTCATGCAAGTCAATAAATACCAACATTGTTGACTTTCTATAGGTCTTATTATGGAGGACTAACTTTGATACATTGCATTATAAAGATCTTAACAAAAGAAATCTCAAACGACTGCATTTTGATTCACCACCACACCTTCTGGATATCTATCCAAGGACACCACATCCTCATGAGGGAAAAATTGAGACTATCGAAGTGAGTGTTTTATACATATTTATCCTACTTTTCTATATACATATGGACTGTTAAAAGTATATATAATTTAGTCCTGCCCTAAAACAGCAGCACATTGACAAAGTTGGTTGTTTCTACTAATAAAATGAAACTGTGTGCATACAGTAATGTGTAATGTTAAAAGCCTTTTATATTCACTTCTTGAAGGCCTAGAAGTAAAGCTAAGAAATTGTATTGACAGGGATAGGAAATAAGAAATTAAATCAAAGGCCTCTAGTAACTCTGAAGTCTCAACCAGCTTTGTACGCTAGCTGTTTTTAGGGTGGTTGCATGATGAATGTCATGAGAACAATACTAAAAGGAAAGGATTTTTAGCGCAGTTATTGAAATAGGTATCTTGAAATACTTTCACAGCAAAAACTGTTCTTATAAACATTAAAAAGAAAAGATTTAGTCTTTAAATCTAATAACAGTCTACTTTATTTCTTGCTTACATATATATCTAGATATATTATCTAGTTAACTATAGGAGTTTCATGGTTTGTTTTTGCCTTGATTTTTTACAGCACTGGGAATTGAACCCAGGGCTTTCATATTGAGCTACATCCCAGCTATCCCTTCACCCCTTTTCTTGAGACAGGGTCTTCTTAACTCACTAAGTTGCTCACACTGGTCTTGAGCTTGCAGTCCTCCTGTCAGCCTCCCAGAGTGCTGGGATTACAGCATGTGCTACCATGCCCCACTTAACTGTAGGTTTTCTTGGCAAATTCCCTTAAGTCTTGTAGCTTTAAGTGTTCTCTCCTCAAAGAGAATTTCATCTTTGCTGGGTACTTAGCTGGTGTTAGCCTATTGGTTACCATTTTGTTTGATTCTTCTTAAACCCTTTCCTAAGAGCTGATATAAGAAATTATTCCCTGTTTATCTGTTTATCTGATTTTTTTGTTTGTCATTGTGGAGCTTTGCTTTCAGAGGATGTATTCTGAGCTCTTGAGACTTACTCCTAAGTGAAGATGCATGGTAGCCTCATTCACTATTCCAGCTGTGTCCCGAACCTCCTTCCTGTGGTCTCCGTGCCACCTACCCATCACTTCTTTAAGTTTGGTTTGCTTTGTCTTGGTCTTTTCTATTATTTCAGGCACTTCATTAGTCTCAGACTGTCCATGTGTACATATGTATCTCTTTTTTTCTCTTTTTACATTGTTTGGATTATTTTTACATTTTTGTTTAATCCAGCCATATCTTGGGATTTCTGTTATGGTTCTTCCTTGATAGTGTTGATTTTCAGTTCTTTGCCATAATTTTTATCACTTCTTACTTTTGACAGTATTCCGTTTCTTCTAAGGTATTGACTATTGTGCTTTACTACTCTTTTTGTGCTACTTATTAAATCTTCACTTTTTCTTTTATTCTTCGAAAGAAGGAATATAACACATTCATCACATTTTTCTTCAGTTTCTACAATTTTATAAGTGTATTGTTGATCTCCTGTGATCACATATATTTATATAAAACACATGTGAAAAATGTTTTAACTTGATTATTCTTTTCTTGTGTAACCAAAGCTGGGTTTTTTTCCCGGCTGTTGGTATTTTTTCTTTTCACACTTTTGTGGCTGGTGGGGCTTCATGAGGAGATTCCTGTGGCCCTGTCGTCCTCTCAGCACCCTGACAGAGTGGTGGGTGCAGCACTGCCGGCCGAGCCTGTTCTCCTGGTCCTAATTCAGTGGTATTTCCATGACGCCAGCTACCACAGCAGAGAGTCTCGAATCATTTTCTCTGTGACTTACTGTCAGCTTCAGCTCATTTAAGAGAACTAGACTTTCTTTAAAATGTCAACAAGTTGTGTAAGTAGCTCTTTGACTGTATAGCCAAGAAGCCGTCAAACCAGCAGGATGCTTTGTATTGCTAGGTCAGGATGACCCAGGCTGTTCACAGCCACTCTCGATTGTATTGTTCACATACACACTTAAAAATTCAATTAAAAACCAACTTTTCATTGTAGAATTAGAGGTCTCTTACACTGTACTAAATGCTGGGCATTGTTGCTGACTTCTTTTTTTGTGGCTTTGAGGAAATGAAACTCATACTCAGTTTAAATTATCTGTTAGCACTCATGGTTACCTAAATTAGGTGTATAGTGTGACTTGTTTTTGTAAAACACTATCACATCCTGTGGTATGAAATACCAGAGAGAAAGAGTCTACATTTGAACAAATGAACAGTTGTTCATTTTTTTTAAAAAAATCTCCTAATAAAGCAAAGGTATAAAGTTTAATACATCCCTGCCAGCTTGAACCACTGGTGGTACAAATGGATCTAATTGGCCTTTAAGGAACGTGAGCTTACATGTGCTATTTCGGAAACATTTAGAAACTGCAAAAACTTTTAAGTATTCATGATTTAAAGAAAAGAAATATTATTAAAATATGTGGAATAAATAGCATCTAAGTGAAGTGATTTCTTTTACTTTCTCTCTTTGTGTGTTAATCATGAGTGTTTGTTTCCTGAGTTTGAAGCAAGATAGCCTTCCTATGATTTATATTTTGTTTTCTATGAGGCTCATTTGACTTTTTACTCTCAATCTTCTGGATGAAATTGTTTGATGTTTTACAGAAGCCACACACTTGACAGCCTTTTAAGTACTTTGCTTGTTTGGAGGTGGAGAATCCTTCAGAGTCTCAGATCTTAAGCACCAGAAGACTAAATGTGTAAATTAGTAATTCTTAGGACCAGGGATTTAGCTCAATGGTTCCTCCACCTGCCTTGCAAGTGTAAGGACCCGAGTTCGATCCCTGGTACCAATAAATAAATAAATAAATTAGTAATTCCTTCATGGACAGAACCAGTTGCTGTTTAGAGTACATGAGAAGTCCATGTGGAATAAGGTACTGCTGTGTGTGAAACAGACCCTTCCTGTGTCCTTTCTGCGGGCCCATCTGTCCATCTACAGAGTCTTGGTTGGTTCCTGGCCTGGATACTCTATGTTAATTAAAAACACTGAAAACAAAATGCTCTCCTCCTCCTCCTCCGCCTGCTCATCTTCTTCCTTCTCCTCGTCCTTTGGAAGAAGCTCAGTATTTACACAGGAGAGCTTAACCCAGCCCACGATGTCCTCCAATATGTCACTAGTTCATGCTGACCTTACTGTCTTCATACTGTCACAAGCTGGATGCCCTGTCCTAGCCCAGAGAAAACCATATTTTCCTTTTAGAAGAACAATTTAATATATGTGCATGATACTTTTCTTGCACAGTCCCTTCCCATTTTGTGTATTTAAGAGGACATTAAGGCCTTCTAAGGGACAGTGATAGATCTTGGTGACAGTAAGGCATAAAAATAGCTATTCTGGGGGAATTGCAGAATATTATAAGAAAAGATACTAGTTTAGTAGTATTTATTAATAAAATAATTGTTTGATGGTGTTTGAGGTATAATGGCCATTTGAGATTATCTTAATCTATAAATTTATACATGAAACTTTGTATGATACTCCACAGAAAGGAACATATCCTTTAACTTAACCAAATATTTGTATAATATTATTTTGTAAAATATCTGATGATGAGTCACTGTGAAAAACTACAACTGATCACTTTAAGTCTTCAAACTGGGATACAGTTTTATCTCAAGTCTTCAGTCTTAAATCATTACCATTTTGGATAAAAATGGTATTTTGTATTTTAATTCTGAGATATATGCTTATACTGTTTTGGGCCTCAGTAAATGGCCTTCATAGATTACATGATAAATATTCTAAGTGTTTTACATAAATTATTTAACATGTCAAAGTTTCTGTAGAAGTACCATTTTTATCCTCCTTGAGGCATATGTAAGTTAAATCTAGCAAGTGTCAGCGCTAGATTTTACCCAGGCATTCTGCTTTCATTCTGTATTTTTAACCACTCTGATGGAATGCTGTATTTCAGTATAACAAGCGTTAACTTTCATCCTGTGAACAGATGTGGCAGTACCCATGCCCTAGGCACGGTCCCCGCTTCAAGGACTCAGCGGTGAACACAGTGGGCACATGCCTTGCCCTTCAGAAGCTGCAGTCTAGGGGAGGCCAGTGGGTGGGTTAGCACAGCTGCTGATGTTCAGGGCCTCCTCGGTGTGAGGGGTCTGAGAATCCCAGAGTGGGCTGTAGGGCGGGGCTGGGGCCTTTGAAGCCACACAGGGTCCCAGCCATGCACCCTTGTTCTTTCTGCTGGCGAGAACTCAGCCTCTCACAGGACATCTCACTGTGTTTGCTGCAACTCTACTTATGTAGCAGCAACTGGTGCCACAGTGCATGAAAATACTGTTACATTAGGAGTTTTTATATGTATATAATACCCAGATTTTTAAAATGAGAGATACTTATTTGTTCTTTCCATGTCATTTAATTTTTTTTTTCTTTTGAGAAATTCAAATTTCCAATGGTGAAACCAAACTTTATTTTCATTGGTAAACATTTTCATATCTACACTAGGTGGCAGTAGATACAAGAGAAAAAATATCCACCAGCAGTCCCTCTGGACAGCTAGCCTAAGATTGGAAGGACAGTAAGTCACCCTCAGGTCTTTTGGGATTGCTTGGTTTTGTTTTTCTTTCTTTCTTTTTTTTGTTTTTCCTTAACTCCAGATTCCGAGCAAACCAGAGGAGGCTGTTTTGTTTTCTGCTTTGTGGAACAGCAGCTGGAAGGAAGCAAAGGTGTTGGCTAGCTGGGCTAACTGTCCCCTGTCCCTTTGCACAGATTTACCCTCCTTTACTGTCATGTGGCACTTCCTGGGCAGGTGTACCTCGACCTCTAGGCATCTGGCTGGTCAATAATAAAGTTCCTAACTGTTTCTAAAACTACACCTCCACCCAGCATGCACAGTGAGCACTTCCTCTGTCGTCTTCCCTCAGCTCAGCCCGCACCAGACCCTGGACAGCCACTGGGAGTGCACTTTAGAGCAACTGCATTTCGTGCTTCCTAGTCTGACCCTGGCCAGCTTCTGTAACTGCCTCTGCTCTGCTCCTGTGCAAAAGTGCCATGTTGGCTTTCTGCCTCTGCTAAGGAAGGCTCTTTCCCTCATCTCTTCTTGTTTTCTAAAAAAAAAAAATTTTGTGAGGAATCATACTCAGCCATGTCATCCATAGGAAGCCTTTCTCACTGTCTAAGCGGTCAGCAGGCTCCTCTCTGAGGCTCATCAGTATTCTTATTGTTGGTACTGTTCATTGGATAAAAAGTCCCGCCATTTCTTTGTTTAGTTATTGCATTTTTGACATTTAAATGTTATTTTTTATGTTTTGAGTCTCTGAATTTTGCAATTACCTCTTTTTGAGTTAATCATCATTCTAGGTAATCTTTACTTTTTCTATCTTTGAATCAGTGATTTTGAACTTCATATCAAATATATTGTTCTGTAACTTCCAGTTTGATTTAACATTGAAATCTTGACATTTGTGTGTATGAATTCTGAATCTATCTGCTCATGTTGTAGATTTCCTTTTCCCTGCTATATAATATTCAAATGAATTTACCACAGTTATAGTTCCTACAGTCCGTCACTACTAACAGACATTTGAGTATTTCCAGTTTTAGAGGAAAGAGTTTACTATTATAAATAATGTATAAGCAATTTGGTATTGTTAAATTTTCTTGTTTTTGCAATCTGGTAGGTTTTAAATGGTATTTTCCTTTAATTTTTACTTTTTTCATTATTAATACTTCTGAGCATCTCTTCATATACTTAATAACTGATAGGTGTTCAGTTATATCATATTTTTCCTTAGGGCTGCTTTTCTTTTCACATTTGTTTGTTGACTTTTCTTGTATAGCTGAGATGTAACATCTCTTCCTGATCAGGGATTTAGCTCAGTGGTTCCGCTGCCTGCCTCACAAGTGCAAGATCCTGAATTCTGTCCCCAGTACCAAAAACAAAAACAAAACAAAACAAAAAATCTAACATCTCTTCCTGTTCTATGTCTGATTATTCATTTTGTGGTGTCCATTATTAAGGAGAAATCCTGAACTTTTATGTAACCAAATATATCTTTTTCTTTTAAAGGCTTTGCTTTTACCGTTTTGTATTTCTCAACCTCTGGTTATGAAGATACTCTTACGCATTTAACTTACTTTGTGGATTTAGCATGACATTTAGCTTTCTACTTCATCCACTACTTAGCCTTTTATGTAGTATTCATCAGGGATCCATGTAGTAATCTCAACTACAAATCAGTTTTCCCTTATTAATTTGTGTTCCCATTGGTCTTTGCTGCACGTATTTTCCATTTGTACAGTGATCTTCTGTGCTCTTGGTGGTACAGCTTTCTGTTACTGGAGCTTTCTTTAGCGTCAACACAAGTTTCATACTTTTTCCCCCATGAGGTCTTACAGATCTTTGCATTTTTGTTCTATTTTTTAACTTTTATGGTATTGTAAATAATGTCTTCTTAAGATTTACATTTTCTAACTATGGTAGAATGTAGAAATACAGTTGATTTTGAGGAGAGATTTGAAATCTAGCAAATTTTGTTAAATGCTTTACAAGTTCTAGTGAGTTAGCAATATCATTTTGGGGATTTCTCTATGAGTAAACATTTTATATATAAAGGGCACTTTATTTTCTCTTTTCTAGTTCTTTCATCTTACTTATTTCCTTTTCTGTCTTAATAAACTGGCTAGGATTTTTTTCTGCATCTTTTGAGGTGGGTCATTTTATTTTTAAATATTTCTTTATAAGTAAATTACTTTGATTTTTTTTTCTAATGTAAAAATAATCTCTCATTCCTGAAATAAATTCAACTTTGTCATAATTCTTTCCTCACACAGTGATTGATTTGGTAGGTTAATATTTTAGATATATTTAATTTGTATCTGTTAATAACTATAGCAATATATTTTAATTTTAGGATATATTAGGATTAGATTTTCATAAATATTATTCATTTTTTATGGTATGAAAATGTCATATTAATTTTTTTATGTATTCACAGATTAATCCAAAGCTTGAGGTAATTGATTTGCAGATTTCTTCTCCTCCTGTTGTAGACATCTTTTCTTTTGATTCTACCACAGTAAGTTTTTTTTTAACATCCGGGTGGTATTTAATTACTTGGCACCATCTATTTCCTTGAAAAGTGTGTGAGGAAAAGGAGAAAATGTGCGCTAAAGTAGTACTTTAACATACATAGAAAGACCTTGTACAGCCATATTTGTAATACATCTACACAACCACAAGGCGGAGCAGCGCCAATTTCTGAAACAAGTTTTCACTTGGAAGTGCTAGGAGCTCCGGCTAATCTGGACCCTCTGCCTGGTCTAATGAGGCGCCACCCACGTGACATTCCGCGTGCTGCTGCAGGACGTGTTTCCTGCTTTTTGTCTTCCGGAGATGTCAACTTCTAGACTTCTGCTTAGAAACTATAGGAATAGCAGTCATCTGTTTCCCTTTGTTAATGTCTTGATGGGTTGACCAGAGATTAAGAAATATTTCTGATGCTTATAATTTTGTTTATAAAACTTGGTGTTCAAAGGCTGAAAGTTTTAGCCTTCAATTTAGAAGTTTACTTAATCTTTTCAAGTTCTTGCCATGGCCAGTCATGCTGCCGGGTGCAAAGCTGGTTGTAAAAACAAATGGGAAGAACAGTGTGGCCTTTAGAGACACTGCAGTCCTCGTGTCCTTTCAGTTAAATAGTTTGGGTAAGTTTTTAATAACATTACAAACTCTAATTGATCTCAAAAACAGTATTTACTGTAGAATTCTGTGATGGACTAATCCATCGTGAGTCTATGTTATCCTGGAAAATACTCTAATTGTTAAGGGTCCTGTCAGAGTTAATCCTACAGCAAAGAAAGCTCCTTCATCTCAGGAGGTGTTTGAGTGGCAAAAACAAAATGCCAAGTGTGTTTCATTTCCAGGGACCCATGAATGTAGTCTCAGCACTGGGCAAACTGAAGCAGGAGAATCACGAGTTCAAGCCCAGCCTGGGCAACTTAGTGATTTTGTTGTAGTCAGCAGGATTTGGCAAGCGAATACGTTAAGTTTTTTTTTTTTTTTTTTTGGTACCAGGGATCGAACTTGGGTCCTTGTGGTTGTGAGGCAGGCGGCCGCACCACTGAGCTAAATCCCCGGCTCATGGTTATTTTATGATAATTACCCGAAGAGTCAAATGCAAGGCGTACAAGAGATTAACCACACACTAGAGGCCCAACACATTCAGCTGAGGCCCTAGACCCCAGCAGCGTCCCACACCAGTCCAGCTGAGGCTTAGAGTCCGAGGCCACGTCCCGCTCCAGTCCAGCCAGGGGCCTGGAGCCCACGGCAGTGCCTCCTGCTCGTGCATATGGAGGATCTGCACCTGGAAGGCTAAAGGCCGGTGGGGGAAGCCGGGAAACCCGTGGTCATGAGAGGAAGGGTCTGTGCCGCCAGGCTGAGGGGTCACAGTGGAGTCGGGAGCCGACGCTCACGGCAAAGAGCGCAGCTCCGCTGATGAAAGCTGACGCCATTCCCAGTGAAAGCGCAGTTCCGAGCTCTTCCTCCAACCAGAGCAACATAGTTCCCGTCAGGAGAACCATCTGCAGAAAGCGTCTCCTAGAAAATCAGCAGGCCTGGACCTTCCGCTCCAGTGCTCTTTTTATGGCTATTGGTAAACTCAGTCTTCAGGTGGATCCTCCACGCCCAGACCACGCTGATTCAGTTCAGCTGGGCGTTGCGCGTTGACTATTAGTCAACCCACTACAGATTTAGTGAGACCCTGTCTCAAAATTTTTTTAAAAAAATGTAATCAAGAGGCTCATTGTCCAAGGAAGACTCTCTCGTAACAGCACCCAAGCCACACTGTGGTCTTCTTTACCAGCGTTTTTGCATTAATGCTGCACTGAATGAAAAGCTGAAGCCGAGCATGATGGCACACACATGCAACCTTCGCATTGCGGGAGCACAAGGCAGGAGAACTTTCATAGTGGGCCCAGCCTGCACAATTTAGCAATGAGACTCTCTCAAAAATGATAAATAAATAAGTAGATAGGCTGGGGGTATAGCTCAGTGTAAAGGTCCTGAGCCCTAGTAATTCAGAATTAATTAGATATCTAAAACTGGCCACAGTACTTGATTTAGAAGTAGGTCTGCAGTGCATATGTTCGGTGAATTACTCAAAATGCAGCCACTGAAATGTACAAATCCTACTGAGTTGGGGATTTTGCCTAGTAGAGAAAGGAAACAAAAGACCTGTCACATGTTGTGAGGGAATCAGTAGACTAAATTTGAGTGTTTCCTGATTATTGAGTAATTCCTGAAAGAGGATCTCTACAGGGCTTTTTTTTTATCTTTTGAGACATGTTCTCCCTTTTAGTACTAATCCTCTGCCAGTCTTTGTGATCTGAAGAATTCTCATATTCTTCATAGAGAGTGTTAGGGAGTTGGGCATAACTGCCACTTAGCAAGGGACCAGGTGTCTTTTGACTAACCCGGATGTGCCAGCATCAGCTAGTCTGCATTTTAGGACTTTAACTCGAGGAATATGGTTATGTGAGAATTTAAGGTGACAATTATGTGTGGTGAACATTCAACAAGTTTAGCTGTTGTGTTAGAAAACAGAATAAGTTTGAGAAATATAGTTATCCACAGAAGGCCTAATATTAGGTTGAATTATATGAAATTGTCATTTTCTAACAGAAACAAGTCTAATGTCAGTCACTTTATGTGGTTCCACTAGATAACTTTAAGTTAACGTTAAGATAACTTTAAGTTTAGTTAAGTTGAGTTGCATACTTGCTGCTGTATAAAATAAAGCAAGCTAACAAGAAACACAGGAAACTGAAGTTTGTTTACTGTAAGTAGTTTTGGGATTAGATTAATGAAGTCCCATCCAGGTAGATTCTTTTTTTTTTTTAATTGAATTTATTGGTACATTCTAGGTAGACAGTACAGTTACATTCATTACTGGGATCTTGTACCTTTACCTGACAGGTCTTGGTTCTCATTTTTCCCCTTGTCCCCACCCTCCCTTCACCCTCCCCTCCCCTCACCCCTTCAAACACTTTAATTCCAGTTTTACATTTTCTCATATCTTTTTCCTTTTCCCTTATTCCCCTTTCCCTATCCTTCTCACAGTCCCTACACCTTTCACCTCAGCCCACAAAGAATGGCTGCTATCAAGAAATCAAACAATAACAAATGTTGGCAGGGTTGTGGGGAGAAAGGAACCCTTCTCCATTGTTGGTGGGAGTGCAGACTGGTGCAACCACTGTGGAAATCAATATGGAGATACCTCAAAGAGCTGGGACTAGAGGTTCCATTTGACCCAGCCATCCCTCCGCTGGGTATCTTTCCAAAAGAATTGAAAGAATCATATCACAGTGATATATGCACACCCATGTTTATAGCAGCACAGTTTGTAATAGCTAGAACTTGGAAACAGCCCATTTGCCCATCAGTTGGAAACTGGATAAAGAAGATGTGGGTTTTTTTTATAAAATGGAATATTACTCAGCCATAAAGAATGAGAAAGTAGATTCATTCGTAGGTAAATGGGTACAGTTTGAGGATATACTCCTAAGTGAAATAAATAAGTCACACATATGCAAATACAGAATAGCTTCTCTGGTGTGAAAAACTAAAATAGCACTCAAGATCCTAACGGGACAGGTAGATTCTTTTATAATCAATCAGTACCATGACTGCTTGCCTCCAGCATGGTTTTTACCAGTGCATTCTGAAGATGCAGATGCTAATAAAGCCCTTTGAGTTTTATAGAGCATCTGTAAAGGGCTCTTCAAGGTTTTCATTGTATGTATCTTTCCTTTAGATGCAAGATAGATCATTGACTAGAAAGCTTGTGAGATTAATTTTTAACTGTTTGCTTTCCCATTGTTTCCTAATCTGTGGTCTCTACATTGACTGTTTTCCTTCTGCTTCTGGCTGACAAATCAGACTTGACCATAAAAGAGATTTGTTTCTACTTTGGTGTGAATATTTACTTTCACTAAATATTTTTGTTGTGAATGTTTCATGTGATTTTGATGTAAAAGCCCAGATAAATTTTGGAAAGAACAACAAAGAGCAGTTTTAATGACAGTTTTGCTATTAGGGTTACTGTTTCTTTTGGGAGTTTGTTTTTCTTTTAACAGACTGGAAAAACTATACCTTAGAAGCTCATTCATCAAGGTTGGACATAAAAGATTACTCTGCAAACCCTAATTTGTCAAATATTACAGAAGAATAAAAACAGTTTATATATGGTGCAAGAAATAGTTGGCTTCTCTTTCTGCTCTCATTTGGATTATATTCAGGATGATTTTGAGACCTAAATTTACTATATCTTATCTATGCTCATGTCTTATCAACCTGCCTTTTAAACTTGATTTAAAAACTTTCCGTGAGCCGGGCGTGGTGGTGCACAGAAATCCCAGCACTCGGGAGGCTGAGGCAGGAGGATCGCTGTGAGTTCCAGACCAGCCTGGGCTACGTAGTGAGTTCCAGGTCAGTCTCAACTACATGGTAAGACCCTGTCTCAAAAAAATAAAAATAAAATAAAACTTTCTGTGAAAGGATATATTGGCTATAATATAGATATAGTTTAAAATTACTAATCTTCTCAAGTGCCTGAAACCTTATTTTGATTAAGTAACTTATTACATGCCATACTAATTTTGTAAAGATTATCAATTTCAAGATTCCATTTGAGCCTTTCAGTGTTTTCATTAATTGAGTTGGAATCAGACCAAGGTTCTGTCACCTAGCCTAGGGCAGGCTAGGGATGTAGCTCAGTGGTAGAGTGAGTCTCTGGGTTCAGTCCCTAGCATCCCCCCCCAAAACAAAACACTTCGTATTAGCATTGATGTGTAGTGTGGCTACGAGGGGTGTTTCTAACCTCTTCTCCACTCCCATTCCCAAAGGGATATGTGTGTGTGTGTGTGTGTGTGTGTGTGTGTCCCCATATAGATATAGATATAGATATAGATATAGATATATGGGATATGTGTGTGTAAGTTTTGTGCTTTATTATAATCAAAAACTATTTCAAAATTCTCTGGGACTATTAAACTTTACCTTTAGATAAATTATATTCTTAGG